AAGCGGCCTCTTGCTAAGAAGCCCTCCCCCCTCCATCCACCCCCTTGTGCGCGCCGCCGAGGAAAGGAGGCGGGTCGGGAGGGTCCCGACGCCACCTCTCGGGATCGGACTTAACGTTGATCTCCTTTCTTGCCGGCATAGTCGGGTGCTCCTCCTGCTGATCCTGCTCACGCGCAGGAGGGCCTCCCGCGCGCCGATTCTGGGAGCATTCTGGTGGATCTCGACGAAGCGAGCGAACCTTGTGGCGGTTTCGCCGCAGGAGGACTTTGAGTTAGAACGGTAGAGCATAAACCTTCCAGCCGCTCGCGGGGCAGGCGTCCCCGACGGCGGAGCAAGTTGATGTTATACGTTTCTGCGCCCGCTATGGAACATTTCCAAGGAGATGCAATCTGAAGTCGGGCCTGTCTCTCTACAGGAGGAATAGTCAACCTCTACAGGAGGAATATCCAGAAATAGTGCAACAATAGTTAGGGGACGATTTTTTGTAGTATTTTGGAACATGTTTGGGGTATGCTTTTCTCGTCCAAGGTCCGCCTGTAGGAGGACACGCCCGACTTAATGCTATACTGGCGTGCGCCCGCTGAAGAACGTTTCGGAGGAGTCGCAATCGCAGAGCGCACAAGCTCAATGAGTTCCGCGAGGATTCCTTGGAACCCGCCGGGGAGCGATGCTCGTCGCCGGCCCAAGGAATCCGCTACGCACCTACGGAATGTTCTGTTCATTGAGTGTTCTTCTGTTCTCGTGATGTCCCCCTGGCTGCTGAGCGCGGCTGCATCCTCGACGTGCACGTTGCCGTCCCGAACCCTTGACGTAGCGCTCCGCGTCCTTGGCCGGCTCTGGAATCTAGGCGCGAGGAGGAGGATGAGCAGGAGGAGGAGGAGGACGGAGGGGACGAGGAGGGGAGAAGGAGGATGGAGATGACAATGATGACAATGATGACAATGATGACAATGCTGACAATGCTGACGATGACGATGACGATGACGACGATGATGACGATGATGAGGATGACGATGATGATGATGATGATGATTAGTGTGCTGATGCTGATGTTGATGATTATGATTATGATGATGTTGACGCTGATGGTGATGATGGTGACGCTGATGCTGATGCTGATGCTGATGCTGATGCTGATTTTGATGCTGCTGCTGCTGATGATGATGATGATCATGATGGTGGTGTTGGAGATGGGGGTGGTGGCGATGGTGGTGATGGTGATGGTGATGGTGATGGTGACAGTGATGGTGATGGTGATGGTGATGGTGATGGTGGAGATGGTGATTGTCATGGTGATGGTGATTGTGTTGATCGTGCTGATGGTGATGGTGGTGGTGATGATGAGGATGATGAGGCTGATGGTGAGGGTGGTGATGATGATCGTTGCGTTGGTGGTGAGGAGGATGACGATGATGTTGATGGTGGTGATGGTGAGGGCGAAGTTGAGGGTGAATGAGATTGTGATGATGATGGTGATGAGGACGGGTACGATGATGAAGATGAGGATGGTGATGATGATGATGATGATGATGATGACGATGACGATGACGATGACGATGACGATGACGTTGATGATGATGTTGCTGATGATGAGGATGAGGATGAGGATGAGGAGGAGGAAGAGGATGAGGATGAGGATGAGGATGATGAGGATGCTGATGATGATGATGATGATGATGATGATGACGATTACGATGATGCTGGTGATGATGATGATGATGATGATGAGGAGGAGGAGGAGGAGGAGAAGGAGGAGGAGGGGAATGAGGGTACATATAGAACGACAGAGGGGGCAGGAGGCGAAGGAGGGGAGGATGCCCAGGACTTGCCAGTCCGCGATCGGGGCGGGTACGTCGCATGCGTTGTCTGGTGCTCGCCCCGACCCCGGAGAGGCCCACCTGGAGCGGCTGTTGAGCGCAGCCGCGGGCGAGGGGGCGGACTGACCTCCGCGCGCGCGCACAAAGAGGCATCTTGTTCTCGACCCCGCCCCCCCGTATCCATCCTGCTGCTTTCTTCGCTGGTCTCCTTCCCTCCATCTTCCCCTCCATTCTCCTCCTCCTCCTCCTTCTCCTCCTCCTCCTCCTCCTCCTCCTCCTCCTCCTCCACGGCTGGGTTCGCCTCGAAATCTGGATCACAACGTATTCCAGGAGCGGCATGTGGAGAAGCGGTATCGGTGCCGTTTTCTCACCTTGTTTCCACTCCATCCCTTCTCCTCTTCCCCACCTTCCTCCTCCCCTCCATTCCTTGGGATGACTCTTCTATAGTCGCCGCCGTCGCCGATGCCCCGCCATGTATCGGCGATGCATCTGCGATGCGGCGCACTCCTCCGTCCCCATCTAATCGGACCCCGTGTGTCAAGGGAGGGAAAAACGACCCCGACCCCGACAGTCGGCGTTCACTAAACGGCCCTGGGCGTTTACTAAACAGCCCTGCCATCTTCGATTCCTACACTGGGCGCGTTTACTAAACGGCTTCGCTCATCGAGGTGTTTCTTGTGGGGGTGGATGGTATGCTCTCTCATTTGCGAGGCTTCTAGGGAGCGGTGACACGGTCGCCCGCCTTCGCTCGGGGAAAAAGTCATGACACAAGCATCGGTCTTCGGAAGTCCGCGTGGATGTCTCCCATCGGCGCTTGGAACCCTTGGCGGCGCCTCCGGCGCCGCCCCTCGCTCTCCCCGCGCGCCAGCGAGGGGGGAACCATCTGACAGGAGAACATCGGCGCGGACCTCCAGATGTACACTCCGACTTCCTTTCTGAGCATGGGGGGAGGCCCCCCCCCCCGACGGGGTCCGCCTCGCCTCGTCGCCGCGCGGCGACGGGGGTCGGGGCGCCCTCGGCGCGCGGCGGCTGCCCGCGACCGGGGTCGATGTGGGGCTGCCGGCGGGGGTGACGCCCCCCCGACTTTGGTCAGGAGGGAAAGAAGCACACAGACACAATGAATCGTCGATTCCCCAGAAGATATGGGAGAATATTGGAAGTGGGGGGGAAGACAAAAACCCAGAACGTATGGGAAGAAATATGGGGAGTCTGGTGATTTCTGTGTCTTTATTGGTGTGTCCTTGGGCCCCCCCGACCTCAGGAGGGGCTCGGGCCGTCGGGCCGTTCCTCGGGTCTATAGGTTGGGGAGCCTGCTCGTGGCCGAGGCTTGCCGCGGCTGGAAGGAAGCGCCTTCGTGAGTACCTGGTGTACCTCGGCTCCGCTTCCGCGCTCCTTCTGGCAGTACCTCGCCTGTATGTGTTTATGCTGTTGCTCCTCCTTATTATTTTTCTTATTATTATTAGTATTATGATTCGTATTATTATAATTTTATTATTATGATTTTTATTATTATCTGTAGTAGTAGTAGTCGTCGTCGTCGTCGTAGTAGTAGTAGTCGTAGAAGTCGCAGTAGTAGTAGTAGTAGTAGTAGTAGTAGTAGTAGTCGTAGTAGTAGTAGGAGCAGCAGCAGCAGCAGCAGCAGCAGTAGTAGTAGTGGTGGTGGTAGTGGTGGTGGTGGTGGTGGTGGTAGTAGTAGTAGTAGTAGTAGTAGTAGTAGTAGTAGTTGTAGTATGATTGTTATGATGATTACTATTACTATTGTTATGTTTATCCTTCTTCTTATATTCCTCTTCTTATTTGTCTAATTATCCCGCTCATTATTCTTCGTGTTCTTCTTCCTCTTTTTATTCTTCTTCTTCTTCATGAACCGCCCCCTGCATCCCCTCCCCGTCTCCTTCCCCTTCCCGCCTCACGGTCGGGGGGACAGGGTGGGATTGAGGGGGTAAGAATGGTCCCCCCCCCCGTTCTTCATCCTTGTCCCCACCGCGCTCAAGCCCGCTCCGCTCCACGGTCCACCTCGCACACCCAACGACGCCCCTCCCGTGCCCGCCCACCCCACCCCATTCCACGTTACCCCTCTCCTCCCCGTCCTGCCGCCCTCATTTCACTTCGCCGCGCAGGATCCAGCCGGCGGGCGGCAGCCGATGCGTCGCCCGTGGCTCAGTCGCCAGACGGCAGCCGAGGCCGTCGCTCCCGAGTGGCCAGGCGACAATCAAATCGCAAACAAAGTCAGCGACATGATCTGCAGCAGTTCCGCGCGCGGATGCATTGGACGGGCGCCCCTGAGTAGCCAGACGAACATCAAATCATATATTACACCTGAGAAAAAAAACCCAATCAGTGGATGACCTTCGCTTAGGAGATCGACCGGGAACCCGGGAGCACCCAGAACCCACCGAAATCGGCCCGGAACCAATAACGGGGAACCCGGAAACCCGGAACCGGGAACTCGGGGACCCAGCCTGCTACCAACATCGGCGGGAAATTTTCGCCAAAGCTTTCAACCTCCGCTCGGACACCTTCAGTGCAAGCACTGATTGGGGAACAAATTCATCAACATAGCCTGCCGCAGGTCCGCGCGGAGGCATCGGGTCGGCGCTGGTCCCCTCCTGGCGCGCGGCGTGCGCGGACGGGGCGGCGGCGGAGGCGCCGCCAGGTGGGCGGAGCGACGATGCAGGAGAAATCCGCACGGCGCTCCGCGAGCGCATGTTTCTGCGGCTGCATCTCTCTAGAAAAGTTTCGTTTCGCTGACGTGCACGATGGTTGCGGAGTGCTTGTTGCACGCTTGGCATTCATGGCCAGCCGCAGCGTCTGTGACCCACGCTGTACGGGCGCCGCTGCCCTTGCGCGTTGCCTCGGGCGCGGGCGCTGGCAATGCAGGTCGAAGCGCGGGATTGCTGCGGCGGCCCAGGGCCATGCCAGATTGCAATGGCCTCCGGCCAGCGCTTCCGACCCGAAGCTCTGCCCGTGGTGCTCGGGTTCGCTTGGGGGCTTATTGGGCCGACTTGGGACCGTCGTCGAGGCCTCTAGAGAGGGTCGTTGGGCATCTCGGGTCTTCTGGGGAGTTTGTTTGGCTGTTTTCGGGCTCTCTTGGCCCGTCGGACGATCATGAGGTGGGTGGCGCATGTCAAGAAGGCACATCTAGTATAAATACGTTTTTTGTAACCAGTTTGGTGGGGGGGCACGTCGACCAGCGGTGGATGCAAAGCCCGCAGAAGGGGCACGTCTAGAGGGGCCGTGTCTAGCAGCGGGCGGTGCACAGCAGATGGGCGCATCCAGGACCAAGGATGTGTTTTAATCATCTTGGAGAGGGGTTTCGCCCAGCAAACAAAGGGTGGTGCACGGCAGAGGGGCACGTCTTATAACAAGGACTGGTGTGTATAATGAAGTCAGATTTGGGGAGCGGCCTCGTCGAGCAGAGGGCGATGCACAGCAGAGGGGCACATCTAGTACCAACTTCTGTTTGTTTAGCCAACTTGGGCTTGAAGCGGCATGCTGGGCATTGGGGGGGGAGGGCATAAGGGGGAGGTGGAGAGCCCAGATGTCTCATTCGCCAGGGCTGGAGTTCAACGCCGTCGTGCTGGACTTTGGCTGTGTTTTGTTTTTCGTTTTGGGAGCCAGGCGCAGGCCAACAGGTAGAGCAAAACGAACAACAAAACGAGAACAAAACAAGAAACAACGCTTAGTCGGGCGATCGCAAACATGGATCAAAAGGGGGCGTGGATTAGCGACGTGCCCCGTTTCCATGGGGAGTTGCGTATTTCCGTTGCCGAGCGAGGCGGCACCGCCCGCATTTTGGGAACGGCACCTCCCCCGATCCGTGGATTAGGTGTCCGCGCGCCAAATCCATGGATCGCTAATCCATGCTTGCGCGGTCCCGAGATAGGGGCCCGATAACCCCAACCTGCCCAGGGAGGTGCGGACTCACCCTAAGAGGCCGATCGCCGATCCATCGGCGGCGTATCGCCGATTCAAAGTCGATGCATCCCCCCTTCTTATGCCAGCTCCCCCCCCTTATCGTTGCCCCTCCAGATTGTCCGGAGAGGGGCCTGCAGTCAAAGCCCGACATCGAATTCACGCCCGTCTGAGTTCCAGGCGGCGAGGTCTGAGCCTGTATTTGTGAGGCAGTCTCGAATGTTGCGCTGTTGACGTACAGGTCGCCTGTTATGAGGGGCGTCGTTGAATCTTTGCTTCGCGCGGATCACTCACGTTGAACCGTTTTCGCCACTATACAGTGGTTTGGCATCGCTCGGACGTGTGCATTTTTCCTTCGGCGAGGACCATCGAGGAACATCCCTGATCACTTGGGGAAACAAACGCGCACGAAACCGAACAAAAATACAGGGAATGGACGTCCGAGCGATGGCCAGGTGGGGCTATTTATGCAATTGGAATGTCTGGCACAACTATCTGATTGCCGTGGTTCCGTTTTGAAAAGGGGGTCGCATGTGGGCATTGGTCATGTGAGCGCGGAGTCTGCCCAGGTTTTCCAGTGTCAGCAGCACAAGGCCATTGCAAACCTTTGTGCGCACCGTTTTGCATTGAACATGCCCACGAAGAGCAATCAGCGTGCGCGGCAACACGAATCGTCATCCAGGTGCAAGTTGCCTTGTTCGCTTCGTTCCGCTTGCAACGCGCACCCCTCCAGGCTGGGCGTGTACCTTCGCGTTCGAAACAGTACTCAAGACAGGCTTTGCCCATCCCGTTCTTGTGACGGCGCCTACGGCTTCGAACGCAACCAACTCGCACCTGCACCTGCGGCTGCCTGGGGTTCTCCACTGTCGGGCAGGTGGCGCCGGCGTTGGTAGATTGTGTGTGTGCTCGTGCGTGCGGCTAGTTCCAATGCGACCGAGCACGCCGCCCACGCCATAGGCTTCACAGATGCGGCTCCCGCTCGAGACATCCTCACAATTTACTCAGGCACAAGACATCCGTACCAGTGCGCGCGCGCCGGCATCCTCGGGTATCGCGGTCATTGCGAAGCACAGGGGCGCTATGGCGTCCAGGAAGCTGCTGGGGGGTAGCCGTGGGCGATACGTCGCATGTGGACGAATTTGCATCGCAGTTGCCCGTCCTGAGAGAAGAGCAGACATCGATACCATTACCCGTCTTGGTTTCCGCTTCTTGGGGCCTCCCAGGAGGCCCTCGTCGCCACGGCCTGAGTCGCCTTGA